TGCGGACATGTTGGCCACTCGGCGAAGATGTAATGTTTGTCCGCAGGTGTTGACTGTGCTATCAGTTCTGAGTAGTGCACTGTTGACCCAGGGGCTGGCAGCTAGCCCGGGCAGCTCCCAGTGGAGACACTATGGTGGGTGGGTGCGAGAGTTCGACTTCATCGACGAGCCGAGCACGTATAGGCATTAGGCATACTCCCATCAATTACCGAGGGGAGCACGGTGGGGGCATAACGCATGGTCAGAAGCATTGTCGAGGACACCCTGTTTAGACCCACAATGTATTACGTATAGTCCCGAAACTCGGGAGAGAATGGAATTGGACATGCACCTATTGGCAGCTCTCAACTGCCAGCTTATCCCGTCGGTTTGGGCATCGTTTTGGCTGCGGATACAGAAAGTCATTAAAATTTCTCTGACGGATTAAATATTTACGGTCACCACCCATTGGTCTCTGGGAGGATGCCTCCCGGTGTTATATTTACTGGCTCCAATGACAGCGCGTCAAAGGTTTTATGGCTAGCTTGTGGGAGCAGCCCTATAGTGTGAACTGTTCCGCATATCTCGTTGGGGAAGTTCTTGGAATGTAGCTGCACGGCAGTATTTGATTTCACTTGATACGGCCACAGGCGTGACTAATACGGAACGGTATCTCAGTTGGCGCATAGGTGTTGAGTTGGACCATGCGTGCCGATTGAGGGCAAGTGCATACCTAAGTCCGAGTACGATGTAGATAACAACGCTTGCTATCGTTTCTTGCGATGAACTTTTGCAAACAAATAACATTCCTGTCACGGGGCCGCCAAAAGGAACGGGTTCTTTCCGAATGCCTACAGCTTACGGTTACGGACATAGTCGTTTACCTACATAAGTAACCGAGCGCTGCTGAATAACCTACCTACACATCGGGTAATCGTAGATTGATCTATTCCCGTTACAATTTCTCAACACAACCCCGAGTGCCATTCTGTGAGTGGGAACAGCAAGTGTACAGGAGGCATGAACATGCATAAATAAATTCCTGTAATGCATTGCATCGATCGTAGGTATCTATTCTCTGATAAGTATCCAAATTCCAAAGTCCATTACTTGGTAGCGCATTTGATCATTTCATTAGGTATGCCGACATGCACATAAATGACAGTCGGATTAACTGGAATACAAAATTGCGCGTCCAACCATGGGTAAACAAAATCGAGATAATAAAATGTCGATCTTCCATAGTGGATGTTCTTATTGTTCATGCATGAGATGGGCTCCGGGCGGCACCACAGTTCATGTCCAGACATTCACAGACCAAACTATGGACCCCACGATCAGCATGCGTACCGGCTGACCCTGTCCCTGACCAAACAACTCCCGCTCCATCGGCCCCCTGCACCTCTCGACACCAACCCGCGGTGCAGGTCGCCCATCCAGGACTCGGCACTGCACGCCTCCCGCTGGGAATACAACACCAGACGTGGCGGGGCTACAGTGCGGTGGTGCGGCGCGGCAATCGATATATCGGAGGGCTGCACGGCCCCCGCGGCCGGCTGTGCAGCGGGACAGCGGCAGGTCGGGAGGGAGCCACCGCCAGCACCTGCCCCCCCCCCCCCCCCGCCAGCAACGCACGCTCAATACAGTGCATCGCAGCGGAAGCGGTCAACAGGTCAGCGGGGCGCCCAGGGTCAGGTCAGTCTAGGGTCAAGGTTGGTCTGGTAGGTCCAGGGGGCAGGGGTCACAGTTTGGTTTGCTGGGTCTGGGCTCTGAGAAGGCGATGTTCTTGTTCGGTAGACCACGAGGTCAGTGTTCGCCTTCGGGTTGGTAGGCCTACCCGGATGTCTGGGCTTGGTTCGGAGGACCGGTAATCAATGTTGCGTCCGGTAGGTCGTATCAGGCGACTGATTCGGTCAGTCCAGAGATCAGAGGTCCGCGGCAGCTATGCAACATAAAAGGCGGCCCAGATTGAAACCATTGTAGTAGCGGATACAATGGAGAGGCACCTGAAGACGACTTCCTTGACCCTTTTACACATTCAAAAATGTATTCGCAGGCCGCAACATAAAACCTCCTGCGGTGCAGTCGCATTTTATAGGAAACATTTTGTCGCATTCATAGTTCACCATTTTGTCCATATCATAAGTGTTTCAACAGGCTTAGTTGAGACTTTCAATGTTTGAACAGTTTAATAAAATAAAATTTACAGTAAGTTCAAGTATTCCTGTTCTTTCATCGAATCGCAAGGGAGAACGTTTATCAATAGCGAGCGCCCGACGATTTAATTGCCTGATTTAAAAGGGACCGGAATTCCTTTGATCAGGAAATCACCATATATGGTTGGCAAATGATATTACACGTAGGCGCTTATAATAAATTACACGAAGGCGCTTATAATAAGCGCCTTCGTGAAATACGAACTGAGGTCTGCGCCCTCATAACTTGATGTATTGATAAAAAATTACTTTTGGGTAAAAGCAAAAGAATAAAAAGGAAGCCTAAAAAGTCACTACGAAGTGTCAGAATAGCAGGCCGTTAACCTAGCAATACATGTCCAAACTCCGTCCCACCATAATCATCCCGTGACATGTAGCTGCTAGAGGCTACATGGCAGCCGAGGCTCAATGACTAGAGTGACCGAGAGATGGACAAAAATGGCACGGAGCTTACCGCCGGCGGCCAATCCATCAGCTCAGAACGGACAATGATTCGGCAGGTACCATGTGCAGATAGTAAGAGATACGCCATCCATCGATAAGATTACATAATGCATCGGGCCTGTCTTTTTATATCCCTATTCTTTAAGCTCTTTTGAGAACCGTATCGCAGGCGAGGGAAAAAAACAGCAACGCTCTGAACAGCAGGGAGCTCCATAATCCCGCACTGGTCAACCAGGTTGCCACGCCCGCGCTAGCCCACATCCAGCATCGGCTCCTCAGCGACCCATGCTGGTCGGATGCGATGTCGAATTGAACTGTCGCCGACGGCCATCCGTTGACCGTGTCGGTGGCACCAGGGGTCATTTGTCGCGCGCTGCGGTGGGCAGGAGCTATCGACCGATGGAGGGGTCATCGGGCCATCAAACGGCGCCGCCGGCGTTCACTTTCTACTCCGAGGGACGCAACTTGACCGGAGCCGGGAAACGGGCATCGGCGGTGAGCCCGCAGCCGAGGAAGGCCTTCCCTATTTACCGCACACATGCCGACCGCCACTGTTTACCGTGCGCACGCAAACACGCGGACAAACAGACGTGCATCCCTATTTATACACAGGCATACAGACCGGCAGACCACGGACATTAATAATACACAGGCATAAGGTACTGGCGAATCCAGGTGGCGTGATGGGACGAGGCCCTCAGGTACAAAGTGTCCCGTTTGCTACATTCCCCGAAACGGTTAATTGTTTATTTGTTTCGGAACACGCATTTTTGTTGTCGCACAGCAACTGACGGACCCGAGCTGCCAACTCCACAAAAAAATGCACAGCTGGATCCGCCAGTGCATACGGTAGAAAGATGGAAAGATGGACAGACAAATGCAGAGACCTTAGCGAACAATAATACAAACCGACATGCCTACCGGCAGACCAGACCGACATGTCGACACACCCACGCCTACAGATACATAAAGGCGGCCACCTTTTGACAGACACACAGGACACAGACACTCAAGACCAAGAAACACGAAAACGGCCCCTCCCACGACACGTACAGTTAGTAAAAACAGACGGCATGAATACTGAATAAGCATTCGACCAGCCAAACCCCACCCGCTTTAACACGCACTCGCCCCAGCCAACACCCAACTGGCTTTCCACTCACGCCTTGTAGGACCGCAGAGCTGCCCCGCCGCTGCGACGTTCAGTCTGTATTCTCCGCACCACTGCTGTCTCTCCGCTCACCGCGTCGCCGCCGCTCGCGCTCGACGGTGGCCCGCTACTGACGGCTACGTCGGCCGGCGGCAGCACGGGAGCCGACCGATAGCACCCGGCGCCGGCGACGGACCGCCTCCGCCCGCGCACCGCCGAGACGCGGCCGAGCGGATATCACGGGAGGTCGCTTATCACGCACGGTTTCTATGAATGTTCTGTAATTGTGCTGTGCCCCGGAACATCTCCGAAGTACTTTTCGTTAAAAACTCATTATAAGCGTAGGTGACGTCAAGTCCTGAAACAGGCGAACATTTCAGTTTTAAACAATGCAAAAGCAATTATATGACCATATGCAATACAGCACATGCTTGAAACGATATTTGAATGTGCTTAAATAGTGACCAGTCTTCCAGGCATAATATTGCTTGCTATCCTTATGATGAAGTGGTCGCAAAACTGATTTTCGTTCCGGTCATAGAGATAAAAATCACAGATAACTTTCACTCACCCTGTTCATCTATCAGCAGCAGCAAGCTACAAAACAATCGGGCCGTCGTAGCTAGGCTATAGCATCTTCTGAGAGTGAGTTGAGGACTGAGCGACTAGCATGACCTGACCTTGGATGACCTATGACATTTTCACGCACGCCGAAAAGGTGCATGACACGGGGTGCCACAAAGGCACCCGTGTCACCGTCTTTTACATGAAACATAAGAAAATTAAAGCAAAATCTCTTTTGCCATTAAGTGCAGGTACCTATTTCAAATGTTTTCCTTACAAATTCATGCAAGTTTTTGGGGATGTTCGATCCCCGGCAGGAAACGGGTCAACTCATCTGTTCGACTCAACGAAACATTAAAGCTCGAGTGTTAAATATCATGAACAAATGAATTAACTAATCGAAGCAATACTATGACAGCTTCTCAAATATTTATATACACTATGCCTCCACATTCCCTGCCCAAATAAAAAATACAGCCTGCTGGCTGTTTGCTTGTGATGAGCCATATACAAGAGTAGGTACTTTTTTCCGGACAAGGGCTCAGGTCTCCTTACAAGACGGGAGAGACATCTGGCCAAAGCCCTTCACACCAGAGCTTCCCCAACGAGACGACAGCGGCGCCAGTCGCTCCTCAGACACACAAATATCTCACAAAGTCATCGTTTATTTAACAAAAGAACAGTAGCCCCGTAAAACCCCACAGAGCGAATCCCTCCCCACCCTCCCGCCATGGCACGGACCCCGTTCCCCGATCAGTACTCCTGACTCTGGCCCTTGCTCTTGGGGCCCGACTCGGTCTTCTTGGGCAGCAGCACGGCCTGGATGTTGGGAAGGACGCCACCCTCGGCGATCGTGACGCCCGAAAGGAGCTTGTTCAGCTCCTCGTCGTTACGGATGGCCAGCTGCAGGTGCCGGGGGATGATCCTGTCAAATACGAGCACGTATTTAGTGACAGACTTAACACTAACAACACCATAACATACTGAAGGACAGCTGAAACAACTGGCATGTTAGAGAGCACATTTCAATGCAATGAATGTTGAATAGTGAATACAAAACAGAGCTTATCAATGATTACAAACATCATAACTGCAATGTGACGTGTTCACTGCAAAAGATGGGTTACACACATGCACAACAATCTTATGATATCCTTACCTGGCCTTCTTGTTGTCACGAGCCGCGTTGCCGGCCAGCTCGAGCACCTCAGCGGCCAGGTATTCCATAACGGCAGCCAGGTACACGGGGGCACCGGCACCGACGCGCTCGGCATAGTTACCCTTGCGCAACAGCCGGTGAATGCGGCCCACGGGGAACTGGAGACCCGCTCGCGATGAACGAGACTTTTGCTTGTCCTTGGACTTTCCTGTGTGGGTCATGTAACAAAATCTGAGTTGGCAAGCCTGGCAAGCAGGAAGTGATGATGGAAGAATACATGGATCATGGCAGCACTCAGTCAACAATCAATTATTAGCTATTGTAGTGCATTTTATGATGGCACACCTTTCATGCATGTGCTGGCATCAATTGACACTGTTGGGGCATCAATTTGGGCTAGACTCATTTTTCATTACAGTCTGGCAAATAAATGAAAGAAGGGACACAAAGAGCAGCAGCCACTGATGCATGTGCCTTTATATTGCCTCCTAAGAACATTTCTCTCACAACTTTTCAGGCAGTTTTTTCTGAACTCTACATTTGCAGCAGTCAAACCACAGGCAAAGTGATTTAGGAGCTTTGTCTTCATCCTTTCTTAGATTTGTCAGACTTAAATTAGCATAAGGTAACATACACACCTCCTTTTCCCCGAGCAGACATTGTTCAGTTGAATGACCTGAAGGCTGAAACAAAATCAGGGAGATTGTAATACAAAAGAACTCCATGTCCTGCCTAGCCTGTCCTAAATGCTGTTGTCATATTAGCATGAACACGTGTGATACCATTAACTACCACAGTAAACACTAAACAGTTCCCCTAATTGAAGGCATTCTGTACTCTGTATCATTTAACAAAGAAACTTATCTTAAAAAAAAAAAATAATTATGAAGCAGACAAAGCCATCAACCTTTTGGGATTTAATTTGTGCAGCATTTGGGAAATCATTCTTAGTCTGCAAATTGTTTTTAGAGAAATCACTGAAGCATTGCTAAATCAGTTATAAAACTATTTGTTGTATACCCTGCCTGAAATAAAATCCCAAAAGCCATGCATGGAAATTGAAATAGAGCAATGCATTGAAATAATTAATAATAGGCTTTCAAATTCATCTGAAGCTGAGTTTGATGATTGTGTTTGGGCTTATAAGGTTGCTGGAAATAGGAGAGGTCATGGAATCAGAGGACAAGAAGAACAGGCACAGTGACTTCCTTGCCATGTGCCACTACCACTGGCACAGGCTGATCCAGAAAAGGCATCTTGGATGCTGAATGGCGGGGTTATACCCCTATTGATTTATCAAAATTTGAAAACTCACTGGGTTTGGATTACTTGCCAAATGTGGCACAATTATAAAAAAATTGTTGAGTTCCAGCCCTGCATGTGGGGACGTGCATTTGCGCTAAATGCCCCATCCCCCTGAATCTGCCAGTGACCACTGGCATGCTTTAGGAGCAAACCTGCAATCTGTCTCTTTAAAATGGTGCTGCAAACTATCACAGTGCAGGCACCAGACCTGCACAGAGGTGTTTGCATGAGTGTACTTAGGCAGTCGCCAGTGGCAATGCTAGAGCCAAACCAACTGCCTACAGCAACAGTCACTGTCAAATTTACATAGGATAGATAAGTAAGGCACGTGTCAGGGCTCAGGCACGTCCCTACAGCATAGCACAACACAATTCATATGCAGCGTCAAAAAACTGAAGGCTATATGAAAATAAATGCAAAAGAGCAAGCATTACCATTATTGGTGCAAACTGCAAAATTTAGTTTTACTTTTTGTCTTCCCCATGCTTGATGCGATACAAATCGTTAAAATTAATAAAAATGATAACAACAAAGTATTACGTCCTTCAACCGCTTTTATGTGCTTCTCTATTAACAAATAAAGCAATGCACTTACCGAAAATATCCGAAACAACGCCTAGCCCTCGGAAGAATGCGTGGACAATTACCGTCGTCCGTTACGTTGAGCTTGCGTTGAGCTTCGCACCGAAAATGCCGCGTATAGAAATAATGAAAAATGGCGCGAAGTCAGTTTTGTATTTGTTCCAAGAGAAACACCGGCACTAAATCAAATTTGTATAAAAATGATACCCATACCACCGCTTTTCAAAACCGTTTATCATTCAAAATTTTACTTTTAGTGTTGAAGTTTCATAAAACAGCAAGACTTATCAAAATACATTCAGCGTTAAAACTGTACCAAATCAAATGACTTCACATCGAGAGTATGACTCCGTCTGCTTCCGTCCCTGCTGTCTGCGCTCGTTCTGCACTTTCACTAAAGATTGCACGTCTCATAAGCTACATGAAGCCCTCAGATAGTCGTCAAATACCTGCGTAGGGCCCTCAGAGAGCATGGCTGGCCCTAAGCGGCCTTTAACCTTGGATTTAGACACGCCACGTATGATTCCGAAAGACTAAGCAAGGGTTTCCACTTTTCTCCCAACCCATCAATATTATATGCCCCGCACTTCCACAGCCCCAAATATCAATCCGCCCCAGTCATAAAGGTCCGAGTTAGAAAACGGTTTGTATATGAGAACAAACAACATACGTCATACACCGCATTAGACGCGCAGGTAGCGTTGACAAAATGAATCAACACTCCTGTAAAAGATCACATCACATTCGGTGAAAGGCCATTCAGACCACAAAATGTCTTCAATTACATCGTTGAAGTCACAAAAAGACTTCTGCATAAGTGACAATGACTCAAAAGGCGCACTGACACACAGGCATCTCAAGCTGGGACATCAATCATCACGGCCACTGACATCTAGCGACCACAACGGCGCTCTCAGTCCACCAATCATCCGCTAGGCGGCGCTGCAGTGCTGCAGCGTCCAGCCGACATGCTCCAGCAGAATGGGCATATCAAACGACTGGGCGATGTTCCGGAAGACCCGCAGCCGACTGATGAGATGGGTTCGGCTCTCCAGACCGCGGTACTCGCCGGCACACTCGCAGATGGCCGACATGTTGAGCTGTTTCACCTGCGGGCCAATCAGGGGCGGCGTCAGCAGGGTGTAATCAATGTCATCAGCTGAGTGCAACCAATCAGAATATGCCGATGGAGGCACAGATAACCCAATAATATATGACCGGCATCAACAGACTATAACTAGGAGACCAGTGCAGGGTGCAACCAATAATCGAAGTTTCTCTACAACCTGTCACCTTACAAAGACTCAACCATTTCCATAATCATGATCAAGACCACCAACCAGCATGGCCAAAACCCATCCTCCGTCGATCGATCCCGGAGGCCCGGCGCCTTACCTGTTTGCACTTGACACACTGCAGATCCTGCAGTACGAACGCCACCAGACTCCTCTGGAGGACGGCCAGCAGCGCGTGCTCGATCTCGTGCTGGTCGTAGGGCGTTTCACAGAGGGGACACTGCCAGCACGGCCTGCGGGTGGGGCGAGGGCGGGTAGATGGTCAGCAAGATGCTAGTACACCGAATAATTCTACACCGGATTGCAGCCTGGTTGACCTATAGTTAGAGCAGCTGCTGTGAGCAAATCAGGCCGGACACAGCGGCCTGGCTGCAACTTTACAGAGCCACACGAAAACGCCCCGAGTACGGGGGAGGAAGGATAATTATAAAACAACATAACAACAGCTAACATGAATATATTGTCCGTCGTCGCGTGCTCACCTTCCCCCGCTCTCGGACACATGTGTATCCTGACAGAGGTCCACGTCGCGGCAGTGGTTGCACGCCTTACAGATGACCTCGGGCAGCACGTGCGAGACGCACGGGTCCACCCACTCCGCCTCCGGGCTAAACTCGCCCACCCCGATCAGTTTGAGCAGGTCTCGGCGCAGCTTGGTCACCTCGGCTTCCACGTGCTGGTCGAGCGAGAGCACCTGGCGGACAGGGAGAGGGGTGTTGGATGGAGTAGAACGTGACGGCATTTCAGTCTGCTGGACGGCAACGAATAAAGGGACACGGTGAAAGCTGAACCAAATGATCAAATCCTCTTGAGCGAGAAATTACACAATACGAATCAAATTGGAACAGCTTGAAATGATCAAATTGAACAACAGGGATGCTAGTTATTACAGTGCTTCGTTTGAGAGATGTGAATCATATTACTTCACTAAAGAGAAGCCACGAAACAGGAAGAGATGCTCCTACCTTGCAGATGGCCTTGACGAACTCGAGCGCCGGGTTCTGCAGCAGGAGGTGCGAGCCGGGTAGCTGAGGGAACAGTGGGTTCGGCTCGGCGCCGCGCGTCGAGTGCAACTTCCTCTGCATCTTCTGCGTGATCCTGTCGGTCAGATCAGGTCAGGTCACCCGAGATATGTCAGTTTACAGCTCGTGGCTATACTCTGCATTCAGGCTAGATTAAACGGTGACTCAGTCAACTAATTACGCTAGCGTATGACACCGAGGTAAAAGCAAATCCCGTGGATTGCATATAATTATTTTAATTAATCATGGCTAGGTTCAGGGATGCTAGAGCGCATCGAGTGATTGGACAAAAATGGTACGACTTCACAACAGCAGTCCGCTGTTTCCGACATCGGATACCGCCGGCTGAAGCTCGGCTATCTCTAGGAAAAGCGGGCCCCGTTAACAATCGCTCAGCCGCCGCCGTTCCCAAAGCAGTGTCACTTACATGAAGAGTTTCTGAGCCATCTCCCCGGTGATGAGGTTCTTGGCGAACTCGACAGCATCCTGGAACTTGGCCTGCGGCTGGCTGGAGACCCGCCGCCGCACGGGGGTCCGACCTGAGATCAGATGTCTCAGGTCAGGGTCAACAGGGGGAGGGCGCTGACTGGGGACCCGCCGTCGCAGTAGGGTTTTACCTGAGTTCGGGGGTCAGGGTAAGCAGATGGCACTGGTGGGGTGAGAGGCTGAAAGCAGAGACCCCCAAGTGCCCTGTCCTGTCTTACTCTGCTGACCAGTGACATACACTCCAGCTCTGCTCTGCCTACCCCGACCATAGGCCGTGACCCGTGATGAAACTCTCACGGTCCTGTCCTGTCTGTCTGAAGTCCTCGAAGCCTCCCAGTCCAGTCTCCCCCCCCCCCCCGGACACCTCCCCCAGCTCTATCCCCCGTCACTGACCGGGCGTGAGGGCGTCCACCTCAGCGGCGATCTGCTGGTACACGGCCGAGATGTAGCTGGCCACGATGGTGGCAAAGTTGGCCTGGCAGGCGCCCTCCTCCGGCAGGTAGTGGCTCATGTTCCACGACATCTCCACGGCCAGCTGGACAAAAAAAAAAAAGAGGGGACGGTCAAAACTGGAAGCGGGGGACAGCCAGACAGACGAATGATGAGCTTCCAGACCTCTAGAAGGTAGCCATGTCACACCGAATGGTTGTGGGCTAGACCACATTTTAGGGATTTTGGGAAAATTTGTCAAGTCAGCAAAAGATGGGAAAGCTTTGAACTGCACACGCTTCTTGTAGCGTCTCGTACCTAAGCTAATAATGCTGATGACATGACCAATGCGGGAACATCCCTCTACGCTCACCCCCTCATCGTCGTCCTCTGTGTCGGCCAGCGCGACGTCCTCCGACTGCGGCGCCGCGTCCTCTGAGGACTGCCGGCCGTCCTCGCCCTCCAAGGACGCGGTCGTCTTGGGCAGCACGCCCCGCACGCCGCCAAAGTTGGCCTGGTGAACACAGAGCCGAGCAACAACGGTCAAATGATGGTCCAGTCGGGTGAGCTATCATGGCGGGGCTCAGAACAACTCAAAAGAAAATTTGGCACTGCAAGACCTTGCGAAGCGACGTAAATCAGCAGGCGGCTGTGCAGCTTGGCACAAAATCAACGATAATTACCATTACCAAGAGCGCGCCATATTCTCAACATTGCATGAAACGGAAACAGTGTCAAAATATAACAAAAAGGTCGAAACGAAACGAAAAGGTTTCTAACATACGAAAACGTTTCTATCATACACACACCGCCCCAACAACCATCCATGTAGCCGTCATCACAGCTCAAACTATTTCCGCCCCCACCCCTCCCTGACGGCAGTACCACCGCGCCACCTACCGGGTCCAGCCACAGCAGGTACTCCCAGCAGTGGGCATACGTGATCTCCATTCCCTGGAACAGCTCCTTGGAGCGCACCGAGCCCAACACGTAGTCCATGTAGGCCAGCGCGTCCGGCACCGTGCGCTTCTTCGTACACACTATGATCTTGTTGAAGTTGGCGTAGACAATGACGGCACCGAGTCGCTTCAGCTCCGAGATCAGCTGGAGGGATGAGAGGGCAAGGAGGCAGTGTCAGCACAATGAAAAGATAATATGTAGCAGAACCATCCGCCGCATGAAAATCGGCAACACAGAATATGCTGGGTTGTCACTGAGACAGGACGTATATTTAGTCTTGATGATAATGAGGAAGTCAAATAAACCAGTCACCGAAGTAGTCAAACTTGACAAATCACAATCCTTATCAATCATGATCCGCTCTGTAAATATCCTTTCATGCACCAATGGCGTCATCTTAAGGGCACCAGACCCGGCTGGGCTCACCTGGAGGAACAGCTTCTTCATCACCACGTGCAGGATCTTCTTCAGCGCCGGATCGTACATCAGAGAGTTGGGACTCCTCAGCCACCTGGAGAAAACACGAAGCGTCAGCAGGAGCGAAGGCACTGCACAATGAAAGGAAAAACTAACGAAATAAAACGAGAATGATTTTTTTCCAATTGATTAACGTAGCGCGATAGCATGCGCGGTGAGTACTCGTCCACTGTCTAACTATGTAGATCACTGAGCGCTCACCGGTACAGGTGGACCATCTGGTAGTCGGCGAACATTTTCTGGTGCTGCGCCCCCCCCCCCCCCCCCACCAGCTCCCAACCCCTCCTCCCCTTCCCCAATGTCAGTGATGAACGCTCACCGGTACAGGTGGACCATCTGGTAGTCAGCGAACACGTTCTGGTGCTGCGTCACGTCCAGTAGTAGCGAGTGGACCATCGCCCTCAGAACCTGCCACAGGTCAGATCGGGTTTCATTTAGAGAGGAAACAAATCGACAATGTGGAAAAATGAAACAACGGCAACGCTAGCAGACACACCCGAAGACTTGCTGGTCTAAAGTACAATTCCAATGGCTAGGTAATGGCTAAACCTCAGTTCATATAAAAATACTCCGCATTCCGAAACGTTTAATGCAATGCAGTATTCTGCCTGATCCGTCCTGTCGCTCACCTTGAATGCGCCGTAGCTGAGGACCGACTCGTCATAGGAGGCCATCTGCGGCGTCTGTCCCGCCAGCATCTCCTCCAGCGAGACCTGCGGCGCCGCGTCGAACGCCACGTACGAGCTGATGCCTGTCGAGAGGGGTCGACAGGAGTCACCGTTAAAAGGGACGCCACGATACTCAGTCGAGGGGGAGTTCGAGGATTGAGGAGAGCCAAGGTATAGCTGGTTCGCGGAGAGACTGGTATTGTCAACTATGAACTGAATCGTATGCGCTATCTGGTTGTTGTATGTGCCTCTGAATATGTCCGACTCTAGTCTGAAAGCAGACACTGTATCTGTAGCTCCAGTTGTCTGTATTTGCATTCTGCATATTCCAACCCTTACCTTCGGCCTCGCTGATGTGCTGCGACTGCAGGATGGCGGTGGGCGCCAAACTCTCCACGTCCAGCTCCAGGCAGATGGTCTCGTACGCGCCGGCGCAGTTGATGTCCGACCGGCTCAGCTCCTCACCCTCGATCAGTAGCCTGTGGTACACAGGTTAGCAGTCTGTGACTCGGGGACGGGTGAGCAGTGTGTCCCATGGGTTACATAGTTATTAGGTTATCGCCGTGTGACAAGTGACATGAGGTCAGAGAGTAGCACTCTGTCACGCAGGGTCGGGGGCGAGATGTGAGGTCAGCCTGTATCAGTCTCTCAAACGAGGTCAAAGTGACAAAGGCAGTCAGGTGACAGGAGGTCAGCATTATCAGAAACTAGGCACTCACGAATCAAAAACCAACGGCAATATAACCAACCTGTCAGTCTATTCTCACTGATGCAATGACCATTAATTTTCCCCGATCTTAGACCTCTCACCCAAACCCACTCCAGAGTCCTGACCTCCCGCCTCGCTGAGCCCCGTCACTGACCTCTGATCGTCGGCCTCCTTGCCGCCGAGGTCGGGTCGCTCAGTCGGTGACGCCCACAGCACGTGGTTGTGTTTACGCAGGTGGCGTGCGTAAAACAGGTCCTCACCAAACAGGGTGGCGTCGGCCGGCAGGTTACCCACCGGCACGTGGAAGTACCTGTGACACGGAAGCGTGGGAAAGGACGGCGGTGTTAACACAACAGCTGCACAGCGGAGCTTGTAGTCAATCATTGGTCAGCGAATGTTGCTTTCGTTATACGAGCTTTTTTTCTTTTTTACCCGGAAAGTATTGAACGGATCATAAGAAACGCTTTTTGAACAAAAATGCGTATAATGCCCAAAATTATTTCTTTCTAGCTCTGTCTCAGGCAGCTATACATACATTAGTCTAGAAAAACGTTCCCCGCCTTCTTTTCGTTCCCATTCACCGGGTCATGTGGCCCTCCCCTACGCACGCGACGGTCCTGACGTTCCTCACCACTGGCTCCTGTTGGTCCCTCACCGCGGTCGCTCACCTGCACTGCTGTATGGTGGTCTCCAGTATGACGGGCGAGTTGAGGAAGTGGCGCAGCATGGCGCGAGCGCCCACCCGCTGCCACTCCAGGCCGGCAAACAGCTGGTCTGAGTCGGCCACATGGATCGGTGCCAGAGGGAAGTCGCCGGCGATCGGCAGCACGCTGTACAGCGCGCCGAACTCTGCCAGAGGGAGGACAGGGGTCAGATTTAGGAGAGGCAGGAGTTCGCGCGTTTAACTCTGTGAGGTCCAACAAACTCACTCAACGGTAAGAGGTACCAACAGGAGTGGTATTACTGCCTAAAGGAAGCGTAGGACATTTAATTAGCAAAGATAAAGTAACAACGTCAAGAAACAAGTAATTACATTGAGCCGAAAATCGCGATAAATGCTAACCATCAGTTTGCTTTTCGGGTCACCCTGAATGTATTGGATATCGGGTCCTGTATTGTATGCGTAATGTGTATCACAAGTCCTAGCACCACCAACACTTCGCCAGAGTTCTCCTCTGCCCAACCCATTCCCCCAGAGAATGCAGCCCACCCACCGAGGTAGGACTGTACGGCGATGACGGTCGGACCGCGCTTCTCGTCCTTGTAGGCCTGCAGGGCGCGCGTCAGCGACCGGTAGGCCGCCTGCTCGGTGGTCTCCAGCTGAATCTGGAAGCTGAGCTCCTCCGGCGGCAGGGAGTCGGCCGGTGTGCCGCGGGACAGCCTGAGGGGGTCGCAGGGGTCAGAGCGAGAAACCACTGTCGCAAACTGTCCACCGTGTTCAGCAGGGTCAAGGAGCTAAGGAGAGAGGTCATGCATAATTCAAAACTCACTTTATCAATATATTTAACTTTAATCTGACATTTCCACTGAAAAGGCATCTTAGCTGAATCCTTCACGAAAAAAAATCACACTGACCTATTTCATTCTAAATTCATATTAGCCATACTCAGCGGTCATTTATTACTGCAAAAGTGCAAATGCCGTCGAAGCTCTGCTACCTCCCTAGTTCTCTTCCCAGCCCTCACAGTCACCTCTCTTCCCTCGCACACTCACTTTCCGTCTCGTTCGGCGGCGTACAAGGTGCGCAGGTTGGGCATCTGGTTGGAGCGCTCCGTGTTCACGAGCACGACCAGCGCGCGTCCTGCCGGCGGCATGAACAGTCCGAACAGGGCGCGTTGTCCGCTGCGGTACTGGTAGAGGAACAGGTGCCGGCAGCTGCCCGACTCCAAGTACCGGTATTGGTTTACCGGTGTAAACATCAGGTGGTTCAGCTCGAACGTGTCCGTCTCGGCTGCTGAGAGCTGACGGTGGAACCGAGGGTCCACCTGTGGGGAGGGGGACGGTGTCAGAAAGCAAATGACAAAGGAGCAATGACGCCAAGGGTCAGTCTGCTGCAGATGGTGGAGATGTCAAGGGGGGGGGGAGAGTGAAGTGCTGACAGTGGTATTGGGGCCCACGGTGCCACTTCTTTGTGCTCGTAAGCACAGCCTAATGGTTAACACTTTAAACAGACCCCGCAGACCAACTACTGTCTATATCCCGCTTACCTGGACAACACAGCCGAGCTGGGAGACGATTCTGAACAGGGCCGGCAGCTGGGTCTCGTAGATTCCCTCGATGTCGGGCGCGGACAGGTTCGCCATCAGCTCACTGACGGTGACGGAAATAACGCCAGAAAGGACGTCACGTTAGACACCGGAGGAGTGACGTCAGCACTGCATTTTGGCATTGTAAAATATGTAAACATTCACATATTATATAGACTATATCCGGAAGAATTCGTCGCACACCCTTGCCACAACTAAACTGCCAGCGATGCCCGCACCAAACTTTTGTGCTGTCGGCTTTTGTCGACATTACGATCCCGTAAAAGAGAGAGTGGGATGTAGCCGGGACCCTCCCCGCCCGGCGGCACTCACTTGCTGTGCTCCCGGTACACATCCTCCGGCACGGCGTATTCGTAGAGATGGTACACCGGGTGAGAGCGTGGCAGCGTCTTCACACACCGGCGCCACAGCTCGCCCTCTGAGCTCGGCTTGGCCGTGCGCTGGTTCACGTAGAAAATGCGCGGCACCACCAGCTTGATGAGGTGCAGGTCGCCGCCGACTAGACACCAGAGCCGGTACAGGCCGGCCGTGCCCGTGGGCACCACCTGGATCAGCTGCCAGGGTGTGTCGAGTACGGTGCGCTGCGCCCGGCGCAGGAAGCCGCCCAGGGTGGTGGCGCGCGGCCCGCCGCCAGCGCCCGCCACGGAGGTGACCAGGGGCAGCTCTCCGCCGCCGGCCGCCACGCGCGCCCGCTTCTGCCGCTCCTGACGCTGGCGACGCTGTATAGCCCACTTGCGCTTGTGGAACGCCAGCCAGGCGAGCATCGACTCCTGCGGGGCGAAGGAGTGTCGGGGAGTATGGTGACTGCAAGGCGGTGACGGTAGGTTACTGGGGACCGGCAGTGGAGCTTATCGTGGAGAGTGAATGACCAAATAACGGTGTGCTTTAGCAAGGTAGTCAAACCTGAGACATCACGAGCAAGAGCATAAAATACCACACACTGATACCGAAAAGGTTATGGTCGTGCTCGGACTTGGACGGCAGACGAAAACCACGAATAAACCGACCAGCGTCACGCAAAATGCCGCCTGTGAGAATCGAACTCACGACCCCTTGTTTACGAGACAAGTGCTCTGCCCCTGAGCTAAGGCGGCTGTGCCGCAACACATCTCCGCTGAACGGTGTTACAGGAGACTGTATTTCAGAACTGAATAACGGCATTTGAAATCGGCAGTGAGTATCTACTGAGGTAGTGAGAGAATCGACGGTTGAATGATGAGTCACTGATAAGAACAGAGCCAAAACCATTTGACTCATAAAATGGTCACAATCAAACGGCCTGCACTACAATCTTGTCTGTCAGTCTTACAGTCAAAACCTAATCTATGTAGTCACAATTTCCGTGTCACCGCCGACCGAACCCACTCCTGCGGTCGTGTCACTCGGCCTTATTACCTTATTGTCGCCCATGGTGGGCGGCGATCCGAGCGTCACGCGCCAGTTCTGTGTCAGCTCGGCGGCGTCCGTGCCGGACGCGGCCCGTTTCCGTTTGGTGACCATCGGCCGGTTACCGGTGGGCCCGGCTGAGGACGGGCCGCCCAGGTCCTCAATGTCACTGCACGGCGCACCATCCTGCAGAGGGAGCGAACGGAGGGGTCAGATGGGGTGCCGCTACCGTGGTTACTGAGGAATACCATCACGGTACTCCAGAAGCAAGGCGAAGGGATCTGCACCGGCAACAAGAGTGGTGTTTCGCTCGAAAAGTAGCGCCAAATATAAAATGACGATAACTCAAGTTTATGGTAGATCTTTTACAATAAAGATGAGCTGTCATCGTCAGATTAACCCTCGCCCATGTAGGGGGGGTTGGTGCAACCCCCCCCCCCTGAGGTTTTTCGGAAATAGTGCAAAAACGGCGGCGCGCAGCGCCGCCAAATTTTGGGTACCTTATGGGGCAAACCTTGCGCATCTTTTGATAAAAAAATTTGACCGGGTCATGTCAGGTCACGGAGTTATGACGTCACAAAGGGAACAGCCTCCGGCCGGATTTTCACAAACTGAGTGCCAACGCCCGAGGTTTCCTGCCGGTGGTACGGAGATCGGTTGATGGATCGTGATGAAACTTCCCATGCATGTTGGGGCAAGTATTGGCTATCATATGGTATAAGAAACTTGACCGGGTCAGGTCAGGTCACGGAGCTATGACGTCACAAGAGGAACAGCGTCCGGTACTATTTTTGAAAAGCGCCCGAGCCACTATTTTGCTAATTCTTGTCACCTCAATGGGAATATGCAGCAATATTAGCTTCTACAATCTATAGGGAGCAAATGGACCTCCCAAATCCAAAAATACAATCAGATTTCAAAAATTTAAATTTTGATTTTTCGAATTTCTGCCGCCGACTGTGACCTTGCCGACTTCCGGCGCTCCCAACGCGCCATTTTTAGAGCTAGGGAAACGAAATACATACCAAACGATAGAGAATTGATCAAGGAACACGATAGTGAAGGTTTCAAGTCGATATCTCCCACCGTTTTGCCGCAATCGCCGCCGAAAGTTGAAAAAAGTCTATTTTTCCGAAAATTTGACCTTTGACCGGTCAAAAGTAGGTCAAATGTTGACCTAGGACCAAAAAATATACCACCAATCGCGAGATCTCGGCGAGAGCAATCCGTTGGTCTTTTCCGCTAAGCTCTACGACGCTCCGTTTTCAAACGCCAAGGGGGGGGGGGGGTCGCACCAACCTTGCCACCTTCGCCCCCTGCATGGGCGAAGGTGGCATATCGCCGTTTACGGGCGAGGGTTAATGCCATGAATTGGATACAAGTAGCGTCAAAACTAAAATTTGAGCTATCATACGCATAACACACTGCTTTTAGTGAGCGCACATTTCAAGCATTGCAATGTAACATTGTCATATTCGTCCCAAATCCACATCCGAATACGCATTACCCGCAATTGTCACATAGTATGAACCCTGAAAACTCGAGGATATATTTATTCATCGATAACCTGGCCTCTCGTCGGCTAACCACTAGCCCAGCGGCCCGGCCACCTACCGTCTCGCCACCGTCCCGTGGCTCCCGCGGCTGCTGCGGCAGCGCCGGCCCGGCGCGGAACATGTCCGATATTTTGCGCTGTTTGAGCGTGTCGTTTTTCTCGATCATCCTCTTGTGAAGCCAGTCGGGATGCTGGACGCGGGGTACCGGGTTCGGCACCTGGCGGAAGCGGAGGGGGGGGGGTAAGGAGTTCGTAAAGGGGTACTAAAGGCACGAGACATATGGCAACGAACACAGGAGTGGTTCGGTGGCGATCGGAAAATGAAAACGAGCGTTAATAAAAATTGCCGTACCGGGCATTCCTAGTTGATTTCAAAGGCTCATCATAACGACTTTGATACGAATCATCCTCAGCGATAGCAACAATACAAAAATAAATAAATCGCTTCAGTCTATCAGTATTATTTAATATTTACCAAATCCACTATCGGGACATTCTATCAAGTGATGTCGCCTACCACCTGCCCGGCAGCTGCAGGACTGGCTAGTCACGTGACCTGACTCACCCCCTGCAGGGCGGCCGGAATGGTGATGATCTTCTGAATGGTGCCGCCCAGCCGCTCGATGTAGTAGCTCCAGTCCAGGATCTGACGGATGTCGAAATCCTTCAGCGACGAGTCTTTGAGCCAGCGGCGTAGGTAGTGGCGCTTCACACTCGGCTCTGCCTGGAAAATCGCCAGAGGCACCGCTCTGGAGGAAAGGGAGGGTGCGTGCTGTTAGAATAGGGCATAGCATCAGAAAGGACAATGCACACAGCTGTGCACAACTATCTATTCCCTATTTTACGTCTTCACCAGTGTCAAACATTGTGCTGATTGTGTTATAAATATACATTTAAAAGGTATTACTATTCAATCTTAAATTTCTTCTTAGCCTGAAAGTCCCTCCTGATCTCATCACATAAGAAAAAGGAACGCCAAAACACCGCCCGTCGCTGACTCCCCACTCCCCAGCCTCCTCTTAGCCCCCGCCCACTCTCCGTCCTTCTCTGTTACCTCTCGGTGACGGGCGCTCCCTCGGGTTTCTTGCTGATGATGTACTGGCAGGCCAGGCCGGCCTCCTTGACAATCTCGTCCCCGAGGAACTCCGCCAGCCGTCGGGCCGTACTGATGGAGGTGGACTTTTGGGCGCCGTAGTCGGCCAGACTGCGCGACATGCTGCGGTTCTCGGCAATCAGCTCAAACAGCTCAGAGTCCGGCATGTTGGCGCCCTGAGGACCGACGAACGGGGCCGGAGGGAGCGGCATAAACATCAGCAGCTGCAACTCTAGAAGCCGGAGTAGGATGAGTCATTATGAGACATAGATTCAACGCAAAGAATGTGGAGCCCAACAGCGTACCTCGTCGTGGCTCACCCTTCCCGCTCCTCCGAGACCCGTCCGTCCAGGGCGTCATCACCACACCATTACCACGTCACCAACACACGATTACCGTGCCATCAAACCGTCATTACGTCGCCACCATCAGGCCAACACAGCCAGCCGGTGCGTACCTTGCTGTAGAGCACGTCCAGCCAGTAGTCGGCGATCTTGGCCACACTCTCATACACCTGCTCCAGAGTGGAGCCTTTGAGGAATGCCTCGAACACGGACGACTGGAAGATCTTGATGAGCTGCAGCTCGCCACGACGCTTCACCTCGAAACTGCAGACAAGGGGAAGGAGGGTAGTGATAGAGTATTGACTGGAGTAAAAGTGAGCCGTGAGAGTATTAAGTAGAGTATTTCATTAATTACAGGCGGCTGCATAACATCGAGCAAACTGTACCAGTGTGTCGATCGATCGGACACAAAAAGCTGACTTACCCTTTCAGCTCTGCCAGCGATCCGTCGAAGTTGAAGACGGCGTAGCGTTTCTTTAGTTTCTTGCCCTCCTCCTTTGAGGCGGGTAGCACCATGGCCAGATAGGGACCGTCCACCTGAGGGCGACATACTAGAGCCTTAGTCCGGGAGGGGAGGGAACAAGGGAACCCCATACAAGGGGACCCCTGCCATAAATGAGAGGATACAAACGTCAAACATGTGAAACCACCAGCCACCGATAGGGTAAGGGCGGGTAAGAGTACGCGGGCGATAAGAGTACGCATCAGCTGTTTCGGTTGCTTAGCAACGCGGGTTTGTCGAGTTCATGAAGTGACATGAAGCCGCCAGTGCGTGCATGTCACCAACGGAACGTGGGCGTTGAGCGGCGACGCTGTTGAGTTTAAGGCGATGAATATTATTTTCGAGCGTTATGATATTATTATGATATGGTACAATAATTTTGATACTTGGCAGTTGAGATAAGGTACATTTCCGTGATTGTTGTGGGAAACTTGTGAGGTTATCTGGGGAAATACTGTACAGTGCAATATTCTGTTTGCGAAGTTTTGCACAACGTTTCGGGGTTGTTTTGTGCGCGAATTGCATGTACGGTAAGAGGACGCACTGTTCAGGAGGGTAAGAGTACGCAGAATTATACATTAAATCGAATATACAGAAATATAGAATTATTAATCTATCGCTCAATGACGTTTGTTTTGTAGGTATATCATCAATGGAGCACTGTGATGCAGATGCGTACCCGAAATTCTTCCAAATACCAGTTATTCTCCTTTTTGATTGTGCATTTTTTTTAAGAAACACACGACATGATTATTTCCTGATTTATAGACTTGAAAGATTTATTTTATGTTTTTCCTTTTGGATACTAGAATTAACTTAAATGCCTTCTGAGTTTGAAGTTAAGCATTTGGACAGTGCAAGCTGCATAGGTGTGTGTTCACATGCTTGCGTACTCCACCCGCCTGGCGTGCGTACTCTTACACACCCCATATGGTAAGAGTACGCAAGTGCAACGGTTCAGAAAATGTCAGTTTTAGACCACTTCCATTTACGCTGAAGGATCGTTGCCCCATGGGTTGATGGCTAATTCAATGAACTTTAATATTCCCTATTTGCGATTTCTTTCCTTCAAATATTAAACAAATGAGAGCAAGAAATCCACTAAGTGCGTACTCTTATACGACTTCACCCTACATCGGCATACGAGCGTACCTCGAAGAAGATGGAGTTTTCCTCCCGCACGGTGTAGCTCAAAGACTGGGCGTCAGCCAGGTCGTGATACTGGTCGTTGGTGAAGTGATCCTGAAAGAGAAGAAGAGAATGGTCGTTCACACCATATCAATACAACGGAGCCAGACCTTGAAATAATGTTGGCACATCATGTATCATCATGTATCATGTAGCATCATGTATCATGTAGCACATCATGTAACTCGTAGCAGGTTACACCATTGCTGTTTCTGATACCGCTCATCCCACCAAGTAAGGTCGCCAAGTTCCCTACTGCGACCCGCACACTCCCAACTTAGCGTCCGACTGACGCCTAAACAGCCCGGTCGGACGTCCAGGTCGGATGCTCGGTCAGATCGACGGCAGAAGACGGGACCCACCTTCACCATCAGGTTGAGCACCGCGTTCGGAAAGCTGATGGTGACCTTGGCCTTCTTGGGGTTGGTCGTCTTGATGACGTAGTTCTCGGGGAAGGAGGCCGGCAGGATGCACCAGATGCCGTCAGTGTCCAGCTCCAGCGGACGACCCACCTGGGGGAGGTCACAGGTCAGGTCACGGGTTAGGGCACATGTCAGGCCAAAACGCTAGCTTAGATAGCATATTCAGATAGCTTAGTCAGCATGCATCTCTCACGATTATTTGATTGTCCTTGGAAGAAACTGACCTTGCGATTCGATGGGATTCGTTAACACCACCCGACGGATACCTCTCCTCACCCATTCATGAATTTCAAACATCACCCTCTCTCACTAACCCACCACGTAACGCCTCACGCCACCCACTGACCTGTTCGATGATCTCCCTGGCTCGGGTGATTAGTCCGGCACCCGTGTAGCACACAATACCGGCCATCTCCATACTGTGCCAACGCGCTCTAGAGGACACAGCGAGAAAACAGAATATACGGGGGTGACAGGCAGCTGTGACACGACGGTGGTAAGGTTAGGGGCAAGTGCGATGGTGGTACGAACGGTTGCGACAAACGACGGAGTTAATGCGCACAAGTAAGAGGATACCAAATGAAAATGGCGCCGATAGTGTGTTCAAGATACATAGCACAACGAAAATTCAGATTCAACGGTTACACATGATTTGGGGTGCTGGGCCTCGTTTCATAAAGCGAATCCGTAACTTACGCCGATCTTTGGTCTTGTATTGCAAGTGCATGTGAAGCGATAAAGTTATATCCCCCTTTCCCTTCTGTTCTTGTTAGAAGATAAACATATTCAACGATTCAAACTATCGTCATCGCTTCTGATCACATGCACTTGCAATTCAAGACCAAAAACCGACGTAAGTTACGGACTCGCTTTATGAAACGAGGCCCAGGACTCGTTCATTCAGATAGCACATCTATTTAATGTATGCAGAATTAACATATTGGCAAAATAAAATGTAACACCAACTACGCAAAAGGGCAAGGGCAAAAACAACGGGTAAAAACGGGCATATCTCAACCCAACATAAAAAGCGTCTCAGTAAAATGAACGGCACAATGCTAATTGCTCCAAGATTATTGATCGATTTCTGGGCCCGTTGACACCTACCCTTTTCGCATGACGTATCCGTAGAAGGAGTTGAGGATGCACTTGTGCGCCAGCTGTAGCGAGTCGTAGAGCACCACGCGGCTGTTGGCCGACTTAATGGCGCTCACATCACCCGAAGACTGAGCGTCCGAGAGCTGCTTCTTGGCCGTCTGACAGTCAGGGCAGGGGGTGAAAGTCAGGTTAGGGCAGGAGTTTGGGGCGTAAAGCAAACATCACTCAGGTCAGACAAGTGGGCGAACGCCAGCTCACTGCGTAATCCTCGATACTTCAGTTAACCAATATTAATGTCAAGGCACAGAAGTCACATATGCAGTAAGGTTCCGAATAATCTTTTACATACATCACTTGGTCTCAGAGATGAAGCAAAAAAAAAAAATGAAGATAATCGAACTTAGCTCACTCAGCCACCGCAGAAAACACAATCGCATAAAAAAACACCTCACTCTAGCGACTATTTCAGCCATCCGCTGCTGTCCGTAGCCCTGGGAACCCAAATCCTTTTCGTTCAGCCTGTTCATTACCTACTCCATGATGCCCCTCCCCCCACATTTGGTACCCCGTACGCCGGGCGGCGGCGACAGCACCGTACCTTGTTTAACGCCTTGTACTCGTAGCGACGATCACGGAAGGCCCGCACCGTGTCCACGTAGAAGCTGTTCTCCCTCTGACAGATGGTGGTGCGTCGCTCCTCCATTCGGGTGATGTGCACCTGACGTGGGTTTGGTTGTCAAAGACGGTACAATGTGCCGCTTTAGCATACGGGACAATACGGCAGTGGCGGCAAGGAAAATAGTCACAGAAGGACAGGACGGCATAGCGAAGGAAGTACGGGACGTTCAGCCGGACGTATCGGAAACAAGAGCGGACAGTCACACGCTAGGACAGATAAAGAGCTACGGGAAATAGTCGGTCATGCGGAAACAGCCAGGATCGTAAGAATATCACATCCTGAGGCCGAACAAAGATCACAAGGGAAACAAGAGCAGAGTGAGGCGACAGAATGAGCGGTCCAAGCCAGCGTCCGCGGTGTCATTCCCGTGCCTCACCTTTTTGTATGCCCGTCGGCAGTACTCTGACAGCCGCTTCTTCTCGATGGTGGCCTGTTCGTCCTTGCTGAGCTGGTGAAAGGCGCGATCCTTGGCTCCCGGCTCCGGCACCCCGCCCGGCTCCCGCACGTACGGAGGGAACCTGCAATGGAGTGGGAGAGGGGTGATATGTTAGTCAGGACATGAAGGTAGCCTGTCTTACACGGAGTAGCATCCAGTACAACGCTGATCCAGTGACAACGCGGAGTGGCCGCTGATGAAAAAGAAACGGCTAATGAAAGACTATGCAGAGACACTTAAAAACAGCTTAACCGACAAGTCTTCAGTGACATTACTTAGAAAAACAATCGCTGAAATAAAACAAGTAGAGATGGTGGGCGATTCCACTTAAAACAATCATATCAAACATTTGTTTACGCCACTTTTACGCGCCAGCCAGCTCCACTCTCTGTTCCTACTGACCTCTCCATCTCGAGCTGCTGTCGGATGTGCTGCAGCTCGTTCCGTTTGGCCGGCATCACCTCCCCTCGCCACATCCAGCTCATGGTGCGCTGGCAGCGCGCCCCCGGACGGTTGAAGTCGCACGCAGCGCACGTGGCTTCGTCCACCATGGCGGACGGCTGGAGTCGGTTTGTGAGGATGATGTTCGGGTACATCGCGCCTGGAGATAGAAGAGCGGGCGGTTAACTTGCAGTCAAGGCCGAGTAAGAAAGAAGGCCATATGGATGTGGTGGGGTTAATCTCGTGTCGTAGTGACGTGAATTGCAGCAGGCTGAGGTGTCGTATATTAAAAGAGCACGAGAGAAAAGAATAATAAAAACGAACGTCACAAATCAATACAAACGTTTTTTTTTCAACATTTTCGATAGTTCCCACGAAAACATTACCTCCAAGACCATCATTCGCAAACAGTTTAATTAATTTCCTAGCATCGCCATTCTAAATACCAGTCAAATCAATCAGCAAGAACCTAATCACCGCCTCCCCGTCATCACCCGCCAGCAACCATGGCCAACTGTTTCACACACGGCCACCACCTGCCGCGCACCACGAGCCAGTGGGACTCTGCGCTCGTCTGGTACCTGCAGCACAGTGACAAAGACATCAACCCAGGCCCGCCGCCTCCGCCGCCTCCCACAGTGGAGCGCGAGTGGCGTGAGACCCTGCACCGCATGCGACGAACCAACTTCAGCTGTCTGTACAGCGCCATGGACGACGGGCCGTCCTATAAGGCCGTCACCGACCCGCCCTTCACCGCCAGCACAGAGGTGAGAACCGGGCACCGTGTGGAGGTGAGAACCGGGCACGGTACGGAGGGGTGAGAACGCGGCAGCTATACAGATGTGAGTCAGCCGCGATGCGGGGATGAGAGGCGCGATACATAAGTTAGAAGTTAGGAGGCTAGTAATTGAGAAAGGAACGCGACGCAGATGTAAGGACTGGGTACAGTGCAGTGAGGACAACGATACTCGGCAGAAAATTGACGAGGATGTAAAACGTTGAGAATAAACAAACCGTCCATTACAAAATAAGAAATGAATGAGGCCCGTCATGTCTCATCCTAGTCTCTCCCAACTCCTGACGGCTATCTCCCCTCTGCGTTTCCCCAGAAACGGCTGCAGTTCGACGACAAGTTCCAGCACCCGCTGTACGAGCCGACCTCGCTGCGTCACGCCGTCGAACAGCCGGTAACGGGCGTGATTCCGCGCACGTACGCGCCGCCTTACGTGCCGCTGCCGGGAGCCCCAGCCGAGCAGGTAGCCGAGTATGAGAAGTATGAGGCGGCGCGGCGCCGATGGCAGGGTACCACCTCGGCGCGAGCCGAGACACCCGGACACACTGTGTTCCATTGACCAAAGGGAGGGGTCCAGGCAGGGGAAGGGATGAATTGTCGTTACTTAAAATGAGAGGTGCCACAAATAAGTGATCAGTGTCATGCACTTTTACGATATGCATGCATGCATGAATCGGTAATTCCAAGAAAACAGCGAGTCCGAGTAATAACTGAAGAAGAAGATGCATTTGTTCACAAATGTCCAGGAAATTGTCATGTCGATCACGAAAAAGTGCTGGTAATTATAGCCATTGCAGATGTAAATTCTAAAACAGTGTCCACCGATTAATAAACCGTCCTTGTCAATCAGTAATTGCTGAATCAAGTAATGTGAAAACAATTAATTTGATCAAATGCTTCCCTAAAGGCCACTTCATTCGATACTGAGCAAAGAAACGCAGCGTGACACACTAAAACCATGCCAAGCTGCAGTCGCGCATCTCACTCAAACGGGGCAACCAAACTGCTGCAGGGAGCCGCCTCCCGTGGTACTCCCTGACAGCCCGCCGCCCGAGGTACACTCACCCACGTCCAGATGGTAGATGATGGGGTTCTCCAGCCGGTTGGGCGTGTCCCTCAGGTCCTCCAGCTTGGCCCGGACCTCAGACAGCACCTCCTCGTAGTTGGTGACCTGAAGGAAAAACAGGACGCATCAGTAGGTAAGGGCCATGAAAGGTCATGGTCAGCCGCTTGATTAACGACCTGTCAATGGCCACAATATTGCCAGGTTCGGTTAGAGAACAGGTCATAGAGCAAGTTCAGAGGTCAGGTTACACTAGACTCTAGAGTCATGTTGTCAGCATTTCGAATATTTCGTTTCTAAGAGAAGTGGTGACCAGGCAGATGCCAGGTAATGGATCACAGTCGGCGTGCACTGTCATAGTCGCGAATAAACCAACGCCCATCGGTCAAACAGCCGAAGCAGAGCTCACTGGCCGGGCACCGGCTGAGGCTGTGACAGCAAAACACCACGGCCAAAGCCATGGCAGTCCAGTGGCACCAGTCCACATGGCATGTAGGTAGTCCGCCACATAGTGGCATGGCATAGTGGCAGTCCACATAGTATGTAATTCTCGCCTTATCGTCACAATCACACAGGGTCGTCTAAGCAAACCCTTCCCAGCGGCCGGAGCGGACCTCTCGAGGTGTTTCACCCACCTGCTCCATCGGTATCTTCTCTTCCACTTCAATGGCGAACCGCAGCGTGGCGTCAGCGTTCTCTAATAGCTTCTGGAACGCCTCAGGTACCTGACGGCCGTGCGATAGGGAAGGTTAGCGCTAGGTTGAGCGTTAAGAATGATAGAAGTTCAAGAGGAGAAAGCATTTCAATTGCAGTGCAAAATGTTGCCCAAAGCAGCATACGTGAACAACTGTTCCACCTTTGTAGTAAGGGCCCAGTAATCTGTATCAGATAAAATGTATTTCTTAAGCTAGAGCTCAAGACCAGACTAATCACAGAAGGCTGCTACGAACTGAGCAAATCGGCCGGCATGCAACTGAAGAGAGGCATCCGTACTGTCCACTACGCCACCCTTCCTTCCCGGCCGGCGGTAGGCCCCTCCACAGCCGGCGATAGGCCCCCTCCAGTCGGCGGCAGCGTCCCTCCACTCACCATTCTGAATCGGCACGGAATGTCGGCGCGGAACACACCCGACTCGATAGCCTCCACGTGTCCGCCCACGTAGGTCTCGCTGTCGAGCACGTGGCCGTCCTCGGTGATCTTGTTGTGCACCGTCTCCTGCTTATTGGGGAAGACAATGTTGACTTTGAAGGCCTCCACCATGAGCAGCGCCTCGCAGAGGGTGCCGGAGCCCTTCCGCAGCACCTGGGTGGGGAGGGGAGGGTCAGACGGAGCAAAGTCTCAGAGCACAGCGCAGACAGAGTACGGCTGCGTACGTAATATTGCACTAGAATTCTTTTATAAGAAAACGCGAATGATTCGTACTTGCCACTTTGTATTTGCGAATCGTAAAAATCGTTTTACAATACCAAGTACAAGAGCTGAGCGCGGCCCTCTATCCCTCTCCCCGAACGTCTAAGCCCGAGTCTGGCCTGCCGTGCAGTGCGCCGCTGCCCGACGATCTCACCTCATCGGGGTCCATCGGCAGGATGGTACACAGCGCAAAGATGAAGGGGTGCACGTACTTCATGTACAGGTAGTAGGTGGCCACCGCGTCAGATACCGAGTAGTTGGACAACACCTGAAAGAAACAACAGCAACAAAATGTCAGTCTAACGCTCATGCCAGAGGCAAGCCAGCCTATTATAATGCCTGGCTCGAAACTTGATCCGTATGCCAAGGAGTCTCATTGCGCTTCCTTCTGTCTGAAAATGCCTTCCCAGACATAAACCCAGCCCTCATTATACGAAGATTACGAACTGGCGTGTCCTACTTAGCAGGTACTCATTCACAGACGTGAGCCAATATTTCCAGAACGTGATTTGTGACCTTCATCCCTAAACGTGATCGGTGTCTCCTGCACTCCGAGGTCTGCTTCGTTCAGCCCAAGAACATGAGATGCCTTCCCTTCATCCCCACAAGCGCGAGCAATGTCCCCTCCATTCTCTAGACACAAATCATGCCTCTAGTCATATAATCAAGTCATAATCTAGTCAACATAAATATGCCACCCACCTGCGGTTCCTCGTTGGCCATGCGGCACATGTCTTCCGGGTTCAGCTCCACAGGATCGTACCGCAGCTTGGCTTTGGCCACGGCCTTGAGGTTCTGCGAGCCCACGGGCAGGTAGGAGTCGCGCCGCACCCAGCTGGGGACGATAGGGATGGGGGCAAGGGTTAATTAAAGCGAACGGCTGAACGAACGACGCAAATCTAACTGCGTAGGTACTGTTCCACTACTGTCCCTAGAGCAAAACAAAGTATCATTGACCAGCACCTGACATGACATTCGAATCAAGATGATTTAACTCTCAATAGCTATATAAAAATGTTACCGAAATAAACGACAGAATCACATATGTATACATCGACGCATGGCAACCAATAACTTGCACACAATGAATGACACAACCACACTATATTTAAGCACTTCCATGATAGATAACAGTATTTGGCCCGATGCCGCTGCCGGCGGACCCACCACAGGCAGTCCATGTGGATGCTCGGGCGCGACACGTAGATGCCCTCGTTGTTCTTGGAGAAGCCGATCTCTTTGGCCATGTCCAGGCCATGCACGGCGGCGCGTCCCTCGACGAACGGCCAGTCGAAAAAGTCGCCGTTGTAGGTGACGAAAATGTGCGGCCGGATCTGGGGACAGGGAGGAAACGGAGGGGGGGAGGGGAGGGGCGACGTCAACTAACGTAGCAAACGAGGTAGCAGTGTGCCGATCGAACAACAAAATTATGAAGACAGTCAGGAGCTAACTAACTAACATAGATCAGTCAGGCTATATCGTCACTACGATCCAGGCTGCGACGCATTTCAGAGCAAATCGATTAATGTAGAACATATTATTAATTCGAATAGTCAATCAGCAATAACTCACGTCAAAGTTCAAGAGCATGACGGCCGGCGTGCCCTAGTGACGGTTGCTATGCCACTCAAACTTTTCATAAATACGTTCTGAAACACCAGCTAACTATAAAGCGTTACTCTCGGTACAGCTGCCCCTAAACGGAACGCCAGCCGCACCTCCAGAATGTGGTCGAAGAAGCGCTGTATGACGGCCGCCTCGTTCGGCTCGTTGAATATAATGAACGGTCCCTCGAACTCTGGCTTGGGCGTGTACTCAAAATCCTCGATATCCTGACTGACGATCTCACGGTTTGTGATCAGATAGCCCTGTGAGGAAGAGATTACACGTGAGTGGGAGGTTGAAGGCAAACATAAGTCGTTCCTATTTCAGTCACCCATGGAAGCACGGACGGCTGAGACCCAAGAGTAGCATGATAGTGCGACAAATTGAGCCTAAAAGAAATGTGAAAAAAATATCGCTCAGCTAGACACATCTGCTAACGCTGAGGCTTAATTCAGCGAGAAATTTTCAATAGGGTAGTTTACTGGCATACTTAACAAATTAAAGCTGACATGATTTGAACTACATCATCTCCCTTCCCCCTTCCCCACATACTACTCCCCTTCTTCCGCCGAAGTTTGCCCACCTGGCCGTCCACCATATATGAGATCATCATGATCTGGTCCGTCTTGACGTCTGGAAACTTGAGCGGCAGCTTGGTCGTCTCGATATCGTAGGCCAGCACGATACAGTCGGGCCACTCGAGTAGGTCGGCGCGTAGGGTGATGATCGGCGGCTCCTGGCCGCGGCTCCGCACCGAGTACCACTTGCCGATGAAGATGTGTTCGTCGATGCTGACCCGCACGTGGTAAGGAACGTCGTACTCCCTGTGGCAGAGGGGTACGTGGTGTTGTTTATATGGGAGAGGGGCAAAGAAGAGATACGAGGCCGCGGGGAGAGCTGGTTAAGTCACGTGAGAGAAGAAATATGATATATTTTGCTGTAGCTAGGTAGCAAGGATTGCACGCCGAATTCCAATTTTGATATTTTGTGTTTAGCTAAATGGCGAGATGGCGTTGTAATCCTCCAGACGAGGCTCATTTGGGTAATATTTCGATTAACACTTAGAAGTTACTCTCAGGCTTCCTCATCCATGAAAAGAAAAAGGATACAACGAATTTACAATGCTCAACGAATTTACTCGACAAAGGCTAGCAAGGTGACTCACGACTGCTCGTCTTTTCACGTGAAATAGGAAATCGGAAGCAACAGGCGGGACGGACCCTCGCTGTCTCATACGCCGGGCTATTTCCAGCCGGGTCCACGTCAGCCAGTGGCGATAGTGGAATCCCCCGCCCGTCTGTCCGGCTCCCACAACCCACCCGGCGGACCTCTCGCTCACTCCCGGATACCGTCAGAGGAGCCGTGAGGTCACCGGGCGGAGCACATGCCCACGCTAGCTCCGGTAGGGAAGCGGACAGCATCTTCCAATCGTCACAGCGCAGGCCCCCACTCCCCTCCACCTCACACACTCGGCTTTGTGATTCAGCCTGTCACCGCCGGTAAAGCCTGACCGTTATACCTGCTAGGGGAAGCGTCGCCGAGAGAAGTGTCTGACTCCATATCCCTTCTCCCAACCACACTCTGCCCAGGGGATGGTTGCTGAACCCGTACCCCTTCACCAGGGAGAGTATCAAGAAGGATTTCTCCCCCACTCCAGAACGCTCAGCCGGTCGTCAGTCGTACCTGATGTCAATGACGTTGTCCATCTGGTTTTTGTTATCAGTGACTTCATCGCCGCCGGTGCCGGTCATATGAGACGTCAAAAGCTCCGAGTAGGCCGTCTGAAAACGGCACAACAGTGTTAGCAGTCAGCGGTGACCTGAGCTCAGAGGTCATTATGATGAGCGGTGAGCGGTGACATGAAGTCCACAAAACTGGCTGTTAGAGCCGGTGGACAACCGAGACAACCAGGCTGTTAGCTGTGTTAAGTTAGATTGTCAACACAGCTAACAGGATGGATTGGGTGGAAACTGAGCCGTACAACGATACAATACTCACAAATATCAGAATCAGACCAAGGATAGAATACACTCGTGAGACCATTACACGCATTGGGGACGCAGTGTGGTAGGACACCTCTTCGTCCGCCACTTATTTTCAATGCAACTCCTATCCGCCCCTACAGGACAACAGCTTCCGACAAAGCTATTTGTAGCCTCCTCCCTGTTGTACATAAGGCAGCAGGAAGTAGATAGTCTTCCTCTCTCCCGTGACTGAGCAGCGGTGAGTGAGCACCCACCTGCGACTCCCGGCGCTCGCGGTTGCGCCGCACCGCCTTCACCACGTCCTTCCGCACCTTCTGCAGCTCGTTGGTGGTCAGGAAGGACAGCTTCAGGAAGTTGCGCTTCAGACCGACCAGGTGGTTGGGCTGTCGGTGACGGACAGAGGTCAAGTGAGGTCACTGGATGGGACTGCATGCAACCCCTAAAACATCGCCTACAAGCCCAATAAACAGCATACCCCCTTTCCTTTTCCTAAGGCCACCGTACGACTCACTCAACGGTGAATTTCTCTTCACAGTCGGGCCCTTTCGGCCTAATACGTGAAAAAATTACGCTGGAAAACAAGAATTCCAAAATAATTTTACCTCCTAACCCACCCACCAGCATCCAACTTGTCAACAACCAAATTTTGGGTTTAACGGTCAGACTCCTGCCCCTCCGCACCCACCAGATCGAGATCCTCCTTGGAGACGGGCTCCACGGCGGCCAGCACTCCGGCGTACTTCTTGGACAGGAAGGCAGCGATCTCCTGGTGGGTGCCCTCCTCGGGTAGGATGTAAAAGTACGGCTTGAACGGCAGCGACACCTTGAAGCGGGCGCCGCTCTCCTCCAGGAAGTAGTAGTCGACGGCGGCCACCAGCCGTTTGTCCTCGTCCAGTATCTCAGTCTGGCGACCGCGTAGTGGTCAAGCGATGCGTTAAAAACGCACAATGTCGCATGATAGAGCCACATTTAAACAGCTACATCGAGGCGAATCTGTCTTAATAAGATGCAACCCACTTCCATGTTTGCGACTTCCAAATTATTCGAAATTACATGTTTTCAACCAGCAATAAAAACAGCAACGATCAAAACAAGATAACAAATCCTGTTCACTTCAGTTCGGTTTATTTTTTCTCCAAAACATAAAAAGCTCAGCCAAGGCCAAACCAAAGCCGGTTCAGCAAGGTAAGAACCGTTTAGCCAGGCCTCTGGCGCCAAGAGGACAAGACGCAGGCCAGGCCAGGTCACACTCACGGCGTGGAAGTTGAGCAGCCACCCGACCCTCTCGCGGCCATCGCGGGCGCGGTCGAAGCCGAACTTGGTATCGATGGCGTCATTCTCGAGGCAGGTCTGCAGTCGTCGCTCGGATGCGTCCTCCTTCCTGTGGAGCGAGACATAGGGTGGCCGTCAGTTGGAATTCCGAACAAGACGGCAACTTTAGAGCAGCCGAAAATGGTGGGCAGAACAGTAGGGTGGCACTTAATTTCGACTTTTTTAATTTCGACCGGGACGGGTAGCCATATTGTTCTACCTCACCAAAAAAATGATCTGTATGAAATTTTATCAAAAAATATTTATATTTAGAGGTAGCTCAATGGGGTCATACTTGGTACATATTGACAAAACCATACAAAACGTATATTGTGAACGGGGATTCAGATGTGTGTCGCGCCTTTCCAAGCATTGTCATATTTGAGCTGTAACACGTTTAAATGAATGATAGATGCCTTCCTATTTGTTTCATAACCACAGTGTTTCTCGCCGCAAACGCGCTGTGACGCAATGCGTGATTCAACCAATGGCCGTTCAGCGTAGTTTAGCTTATTTTGTTCGGTGACGGTAGCCCGCTGCCAGGCGTGCAACTTCAGCTCTTCTCTCGTATTACGATGGTTGGGAAGGGTCACGAGACTGCTAGCACTTACCGGGGTTACATGGGCAAATAAATGCGCATCAAGAATGGTTTTTCTTCGCTGAATATTGTGATCCGTTTGTAATACGCATTTACTCTGCTCATGTATCCCAGGTTACTGATGCGCAGGGGGACACTGCCAGTGTACGGCCACAGGGCAGGTCTCCGTGTCTTCGTGATGTCAGGGAGAAGACGTGCACGTGAAAAAGATAAGTTGTGTTTTGCTTAGCTAGTTCAGAACATTTTTCGCTAGCCAGGCTCAAATTGACAGGCCGCAGCAAACGCTGTTCTAGAATTTCTCGATGAGTGAGAGTTGAAGGATTGAGTGAAAACTGAAAGCGCTCAGTTTTGACACAAGTGCATCGAACACCGGCCTCAATGCAGGAGCCTGCACGATCATCGAGCAGCGGCTCGAGCAGGACTTGCTCCACCTGACTTGCCACGACATTTACGAGTTTGTTCTATAAAGACATTTCCAGCCTGTCTCGGCCCGTCCAGCGGCCCGGACGTTGTTTTGTTTAAGCGCTTCCATAAAAAGTGGGCGTCTAGATGAAACGGAGCCATAAACCTTCAAAAACTGTGACATGTCCCACCTCCGCAACCCGCGTGATGCTCTTGCACAGTTCGGTCATATATCCTTGACTGCCAGCACTCACGTGACAACCGTGAGATGCTGGAGCTGGCCATCACTGTCCTCGGTGGCGCTCCGAAACGAGGTATGAAGATCGCTCGCCCCGATATGCTCCGTGTGTGCTGGTTGACCAAAACCATTTACGCTATGAAGCTTTAACTCTTCCGAGCACAACACCGGCTCACTACGACTAAGAAGAAGAGCCTCCAGCCGCCAGCGAATCGTGACCTTTGTGGTAACAACGTAGTTTTCGGCTCGATACAGTGCACCGCTTCTGGCGTCTGCACCAGCGCAAGATCTCGACTTCCTCAAGTCCCTCCTGGAGTACGAATTGGACGAATTGGTGTTCGAATTGGTGTCCAAGGCGACAGCCATTACCTTCAGCCGTCACCTCTGGTATCTAAATGA